CGGGATTATTCCGCAGTTGACTCGCCATTGTCTTCATAACCACCCGGATACCAACGACACTGATGAAAGAACCATTATAACCTTCTGACAAATCAAATTAAATTTTTAAATCGCCATATATATGTCCATTGGTTAAGAATACACAATATAGGTGAATATGTGCTTTCGGTGAATTCCTTTTCAGGCCTTTACTATAATACTTATATGAAACAACTTCAATTGGGTCAAACAGAAAAGTGGATCAGCCATGTGCCTGGCAATGAGCCCGAGAGAACTCAATTTCCGCACTGTTTTGATTATGTAACCAAAATCGCTATGTTACCTCATGGTCATGTGATCAAGCGGTTTTCTCTTCCCTTGACCAGGAGAGTTTGAGAGCTTGAATCAATTTTCGTTGTACGCACAGCCCTGGCTTCATGAGTCGGATGCTAATGGACCTTGTGGTTGCTAACGTCCGAAACCGTATTGCTCTCCAGGGCTGTGGTGAGACTCGATCAACGATTGCAAATGCCGAGCGCATGTCAACTAAGTGTCCCGTCTCTACCACGTGAGCAACGATCGAACTTGACACAGCTCTCCTTCCACCATGTGTGAGGCAGTGTGGATTGTTCTTTAATCCGTTGAAATAACTGCCTTGTTGTTCGATCTACATAAGTTGCACCACAGGTGCACTTGAATTGGTAGACAATCATAAATGAGATCAACATAGGCAACCTATCTTTTTCCGTAGCACCGGATGTTTGGTGACGTAAAGACCACACATCTTAGCTGAGCTGCAATCAAGGTGGATTTCACTGCTGCGGATAAGACTCTACTGACCCTGTCAACGGCAACATTACCTTTGCATGGAGGTTTTTAAAAAAACGTTTTTTCCGCTTTTGGTATTTTTGTTGGCTTATTCTGTTCAGTCCAATTACGGTCAATGAACTTTCAGGCTATCCATTTTCCAGTATGGTTCTCCTCACTGGTTCCATTTCGTCCTTTAAAGTGTCTTCTGAACAGATACACCTTGCTCTCTGTAGGAGACAGCGTAAGAGGTTACGTTGTGGACAGTGGGACGAAGCTATGAAAATGTCTGTACTGTCCATTCCATGTTGCTTTTCGATATCTTTCTTTGGATAGTCAGATGACAAAAACGGAAGGCGATAGTTCTCCTCTGGTTCAGTTGTGAACTTAATTGACGAATGTGCTGTGTTGAATTCTGACTTGACTTGGGTAAGATTAGTGTTCTCGTTAACCGCGCACAAGATACCATCTACATGACGGTGATATTGTTCAAAACAACTAATGGGTGGAGATAAGGAAGCTGTTTCCAATTTGACTATGAAGATGTCGGCGAGAACAGGTCCAAAGGGTGAACCCATGGCAATATAATTCACTTGGTGGTAAAATGTTTTCAAACAAAAATTGTACATTTCCTGTGAGTATGAGTTCTTTGAGAGTTTTGACTGGAATATCCTCGGATGTCGTTTCTGTGTTGATAAATTCACAAATGAGATCAGCCGTTTTTAACAGAGGAACAACCGTAAAGAAAGAAACATCTAAAGAAAACATCAATCGGTTGTTACTGTTCAAATTTAATCAAACTGAGAAGTATCTCTAAGTGTGTTTGGCGACACGTTGCCGTAGGGGCTCCAAAATTATAGCTAGCCAACGGGCAGTTATGAGCTGATTTGAATTTGTCATAGAGATTATGGGACGCATTGGTATACCAGGTTTGTGTATTTTGGGTATGGGCGGGATACGTTAGAGCCAAAGGGTTCGGCATTTTCAAACATCCAGAATGTTATTTAGCTTTCATCTCTAAGCCTATTGGTGTATCGGTAATTTGCTTTTCAGTTTTCCCTTTTGAGTTACGTTGAATGAATCTGAACATTAACAACCGACTGATGTTCTTTTTGGATGTTGTTTCTTTCTTTACGATTGCTTCTCTGTTAAAAACGGCTGATCTCATTTGTGAATTTATCAACACAAAAACGACATCCGAGGATATTCCAGTCAAAACTCTCAAAGAACTCATACTCACAGGAAAGTGTCGTGGTGACTAGTTTGATGGATGTTGGGGTGAATTGTGTTGCAGTAGTGGAACAAGTTTTCTCTGTCTTCCTTGATGTTATCTATGACGATTTCATCAACACAGCGACGGTATAGATTTACTTAGGAGATATCCTCTTCAAGCCTTTCTTCTAGGTGGCAAAAGAAAATATCCGCAAGAATTGGTTCCAGCGGATTGCCCATAGTGACCCTATCTGTCTATAGATAACCTTATCTGAGGAACGAAAACTTAACGTTTGCCGTGCGTAGGAGTAGGAGTCGTGATAGTTCACTGATAGGTTATCCGACTTGCAAGTTCTTGTCCTCAATTGCTTAATAAGTATTCCTGATGGTCTCATGCAGCGGAACATGTGAAAGTTGACATCCATTGTAAACACGTCTTTGTTGAACATTTCATATTCGTGACGGAAAAAGAATGTCTTCAGTTATTCAATCACACCAGCCGGCATTATGCGCATAAAATTTTTGATACAAGCAATCCACTTATCGTGGAGTTCATCTTCTAATTCTATATTTAACAATCCTTGTACGCTTGTATACGTTCATTCACCACAACTGAACGACTCCATGTATTATACACGTGCCTGCTTGTTTCAAGTCAGTGATTGAGAAGATTAAACGGACATTTGTCTTCTTTCGGTGTTGCAGAAAACAGACAAATAATTGCGGTGAAACTATCACCGGAGGCGATTGTTTAAAGCTAAGACAGGTTCAGAGATCGAGTAAAGCGTTTTCGGACGCACAGGATTGGGTTACGGTGGAATCCGCAACCGATGTGGATCACGATGACGTAACACGAAGGGAACGGTGTCGGTTGGGTTGAACTTATGAACACTCTCAATCCACTGGTGAACGATTGCTGGTGTTGATCGAGTGTCACGCTTACGTTCGGTCGGTAATTCTGACTCATCGCGCTCGGCACGTCTTTCCGGATGTATTCAGTTATCCTAGTGCCCAATATCCTGTCAGTTCAATAAGTGTGTACGTCTTTGCAACTGCAAGAGAAGGTGCAAACGCCCAAACAGGTGAAAGCAACGTGAACACGAATCCTCGATGGTGGTGTTGGAAAACGTTGTGGTAGGATAGAGACGTACAGGCTAAAATGCGTTGTTGATGCGCCGTACTGTCAGTTGGACAACTTGGTCATCCTTGTATGGTAGAGATACTTTGGATCAATAACCTGATTCTGACGTGACTGTTATACATCACTCGTCTTTTATGAGCAACAGATCAAGGGATTTATTCCTTCGCATGTAATGCATATTCGTCATGCAATAAAAGCTGGAGCTTGGTTCTGATGATATATATTTCACGGCTTCCTTACTGGACGGATATTTCCTCATGGCATACACATCTCTTTCAACGCAGAACGCACTCAGATAGACTAGCAGAAATCCGAGGGAAAAGACTGCCCATTGATTGATCAAAAGGAAGACAAAATAACAGGCAAACTTGGATTTTTTCTGCCACATTGAGCGTCCAGATACAGAACGCACCACGGTCAACAAATCATGGGTTGGGAGTGTAAAAGTCGGAACCATTGACCATGTTGGATTAAAATTGTGTATGTATGTTTCGTTACTGATGAATCCGCTCCCACCTCATGTTTGGTAAACTATAA